CTGCAGTCGCGGTCCGGAGCCCCTTGAGGAGCTGCGTCTGAGGCTGGAATTCAGCACAGTGGAGGAGGAGGATGAGGAGGACGTGCAAAAGGAGGAGGCAGAGATGGAGGTATTAATGCAGCCAGATGATGAAGGCGGTGGTGAAACGCAAGATGTTGAAGTAGAGGGTAATGGGATGGACCTGGCAAGTCTCAATGAAAATTCCAACAATAACAACCATTTCAGCACTCCATGCAACTACAATGTAAGTTTGAAAATTGAAGTTTAGCCCATATTTCAGACTGAAAATGCTAAATATTTGCATAAATAACTGTTGATTGTTGCATTTGTTTTTCTGCGCCATCTTTATTTAGAAAAAAGCTTCCTCCATCCTTCTTCCAGCCGATGCTTCTACGCCACTGCCTTGGTGTGATCAGACCAAGTCTTATATGAAACGAGATTCTCCAAACTTGGCTTCTAAGCGTTGCCTTAACCTGACTCCTCCCGAAGTCCCAAGTGCTTCATTCCTACAGTCCCATACCTCATCTGAAGGCCTCAGATCCTCAGTGGGACTGCGGTGCCCCTGTGGGCCTCTGTGTGACTGTGCCAACTGTGCTGCCTCCCCAACCAAGGCTCCACTTGAAAAAGAGGAACGGCTTGGAGAATCACTGCAGTTAGTAGAGCCTGAGCATAATGGGGAGTTCTCTGAAGTAAAGACTGAGCTTGATGAGAGTCAGTCTGCTAGTGCCTCAGAGGCTCTCCCTGAGCTGATGAAAATCGATTCTGAGGACGACAAGCCTGCAGTGGCTTGCTACCTTGGCCAACAACAGGAGACCCTTTTACAGCTGCGACAATCTGGGTTGGTCCGCCGCCGTGCAGAGAGACTAGAGAGACTTGCGGGTTTATCTCAGGAAAGCCTGAACTCTCTGAAGCCTTTGCACGGATGCCAAATGTCCCAAAAGAGTCCCTTTCACACTGAGGAGGACGAGGAGTTCTCCAGCGACTTCGCTAAATCTTCAACGCCATGCCAAGTGCGGTTAGAGCCACTGGTCGTGCCACTGACCAATGAAGCCTTGTTGGGGGTAGTGGGGTCTGGGCTGCTTACACCCACCTCCTCGCCTCACGGCTCCACCTTGACACGCAGCTCCAGCAGCGACAGCCTGAGGAGCGTGAGGGGGAAGCCTGGCCTCGTACGCCAGAGGGCACAGGAGATCGAGACCCGCATGCGGCTAGCAGGCCTTACTGTGCCCTCGAGGCTGAAGCGGTCCAACTCGCTGGCCAAGTTGGGCAGCCTCAACCTGTCCTCCGAGGACCTGTGTTCAGTCTGCTCCTCAGATGCAGGAACACTCCTGCTCCTCTCACTGTCGCCAGAGCCAGACCCCAGCTTGGACTGGGACTCCCCGACCACCTCTGCGCTATCCCGGCCCCGCAAGGACTTGCACACTCCAGAGAGGGCACGACCAGGTGAACCTAGAAGCTGACAAATCAAGTGGAGGCTGTGTACGGTCCACTCATCCCCTCTTCTGTCACCCTGCGGGGCTGAAGAAGGTTGTACAGATTCTGGAAACGGGAAAGGGTCGAGTCTGAGAAAATAAAAAGAAAGCCAACTGTTGTTATAAGGAGTGTATGCTCTCCTTTGCCACATTGTTTCTCAAACTGCTGTTCACAGTGATGAAAGTCATATTGCTGTATCTGAGAAGTGTGTAAAGCCATCAGTTCACCTCTAAGTTGTTTGATTTATGGACAAACAAGTGCCTTACCTACGAGACCAGAGGCACAGAGCTGTGTGTTCGTCCGCAGAACGAGACGGTACGGTGATCTGTAACCTTTAATTTGGTGTCCACTGGCACTTATCTTATTTTTATCTGTCGGGTACAAAGTGGTAGCCTACATTGATGAACTTGATTCCCTCAAAGAGCTTCACATAAAGCAAACTGTTGAATAAACATAGTTGTTTACCACACGGTTTATGTTTAAGATGCTAGCGGGTTGTAAAATTAATGGTTACCTCATGTTGTGTTCATGGAGCTTTTGCTCACATGAACGCCAACCAAGAGTTCAAGTCAGTTCAGTTGCTGATGTCTAGTTAAAGTGAGGAAATCAGTTTGGTTTTTAAATCCATTTTAATGCATTTACTATGTGTTAGTCCCTGAGTGAGTGAATGGGATGAGAGTAGAGAGGAGAGGTAACTTTTTGCCAGAGGCACGCTCACTGTTCTCAACAAACAGAAACATTTCTGAGTTTGTTGTTCCTTTGCACTGCTTTTTTTATTGAGTGAATACTGGTACACAACAAGCTATCTTCCAAAATAACATTGGAGTAATGTTATTGACCTCATCATTCCCTACAATGTTCACTGTTCTTGGAGAGCGGAGTGTGGAGTCACACTACATGGCTGAAAATCATAAAGTGTGACAGAAACTGGGGGTTTATGACAGCTAAAGTTAGCTGAACATTCTTGACAAAACAACAGAAAACATTACAACATTCTTTACCTTAAAATTATTTAAGGGTTGCCAACATTTTTAGCTCACAACATTTTTTTACTATTTTTTTTTTCCAATGTGAAAGACCAAAGTGTTTTTGTTTTTTTTGTTTTTTTTAAGTTTTTAAATTTTGGCTGTCTTAAATAGGAAATGCCGTTGAAGCTGTATAAAACATGTGAATCATAACGTCAATCACGTACATATTTAAATGCTGTCACATCTGTTTTGCACCTTTTGGGAGAAACAAAAGAGACTCGTTGGAGTCACCGGGCTCATAGCTGTTAAGCTTTTACACTCATATCATTAATGAGTTCTGAAGCTTTTGTCACACTGACGTGACAGCGATCACAGTAGGTTACTTCATGGTTTGGTAACCATTTTCTTTTTATATTTAAGTATGCAGTAATTTTTGTACTGTACATTGCTGTAGTTTGAATGCATATTGCACTTTTTATGTTGGTAAAGATACTGTACTGTATGTGTTAATTATGGAAATAAACATTTCTTTTACATAATTGCTTTTGCTCTTCCCTCTCTGAGCATACTTCTTTCGTTTTTGAAGAGTTAACTCAGGATTTCGTAAAAGATCCAAACGTTGCAATTCGGGGTCAAATGCCAGAGGGGACCGACAGGAATCGCAGTCGTCTCAAAACTGAGCCCCCAACAGTTAAGAGCTGGTTCATGAAGATAAAGTAAATGGAAAAATAACATACAACAACAATACAAAATAACACATGGAAATACAGTCTATAAAGCAAAAATGGAGTTTGAATAATTCTAACCAGCTTTAAAGTTAATACTTGGTATGAACACCTTTCTTATCATTTCAAGTCGTCTTTGTGTCAAAAGACTTGTGTCTGACATTTTTCATAGATTCAACTAAAGTGGGAACAAATTTGCTGTTTTTGTGACAAGCTGCTAGTAATAAACTGCCAAAAATACAATTGAAAATCATTTTTTCACCAAGTTGTTCTCAAGACCACTTTCAAAACAATACAGCAAAGTGGTTCCTTGGAGGAAAAATATAACATTTTGAGCCATAATATACATGATTATCAGCTATGGTAACCCTGACTGGGTAACTTAATCCAACTTAATTTACAGATTCAAAACAACAGGTACCTGTGGAATAAGTTTTTATTCCACGATCTTTTGCATTTAAAAACCAAAATGTTTTTTTTTCTTTTGTATTTTATTGTTTTGCGATTATTTCCGTTTACTTGCATTTTTTACAACTCATTTTTTTTCTCTGTCGTGCCCAGTCAGTATCTCTATTTTTTTTTCCATGTTCAAATTACAAACAATGTGGATGGATGGCAAATGGAAAAATAAGTTTTTGAACTTGTAATAAATAAAAGGTTTTAGTCTTTGAAATGTTTTGGTGAACACAAACAGTTGGAATAATCTTCATGAATGTTCGAACTGTCCGGCACAGATATTCAGACGTAATAACGAAATACACGAATCCACTGTGATGGAGTGTGCGCCCTGACATTACATCATGATTGTGCCCTCATCTGTACGCTTTGGCAGAGGAAATATTTTCTAACAGCCAGGTTATATAACATCTGGCTTCCCGTCAGTGTTTGCATGAGTTAACTTACAGACTCCTGTTTCTGCAGGCCTGCGTGACCGTGTGTATGAATGCTGCTCCTGTGCACAGAATAGCGTGTGGTGAGGAAGTGAGGTGGCTAAGCTGCAGTTTTATATCGTGTGTGTGTGTGTTTGTATGTGTGTGAATAAAACCCATTTCTACTTGGACTAGTTTATCAACGGGTGTGAAATGAATGACTAGTCCCCTGATGTAACCTGTTAAACAGTTGTAAACAGGCGCATTAATCTGCTAAAAAAAAAAGCCTGCTTCGAGTTAAACATCGCGCTAAACTAGTAACAGATTGTTTTTGGTTTTTTTAGAGATTAGATTCAAAGTGACCTTTATAAACTCAAACACACCGGCTTATAAGAACACTGGCTGCCTGTCTGTCGGCACAGTAGCTTTCAGTAAGCGGCCGGTGGGTGTGGACGGGCCCCTCTTCCCCTTCGTCTGCCGGTGAATTCTTGGCTGCAGCACCTCCACTTTTGTTTTATTATCTGAGGACACATCCTGTTTGGGACGTTACTCCAGTAACCAAGCGCAAACAAAAGAAATGGCCAGAGCTGTTTTCAGATAATATCCCACTCCCCTGGGCATACAAATGCTCACGGTTTATCCCAGACACAACATAAAAAAAACAACAACCCTGCTTTTCTTAACTGCTGGACAGAGGTGTAAAAAAGATGCTAAGCTCGTAACACTTGGGTAAGAGTCCGAGGAAGTTCAGATCTCCCCCCCCCCCCCCTCACACACACATTTTTACATTTTTTTTATTTAAATTATAAAAAATGTTAACACAAATAAAAACACGAATCAACTTTTTTTTTATCTAGCAGAAGGAGGGGAATAAAACTAAACTAAACCAAACTCAATAATGTATTCGAAAGCAGGAGGAAATAAGCGCACAAGGAAAAGCAATCACCAAATTAAAAGGGGAAGCGGCCATAATTAAGACACGACAAACAGAGGAAGACGCGAGGAAACACAGAAGACACGGACAAAAGGTAAACAATTAAAGAAAAATACATGCAAGGATTTGGAATTAAATCTAAAAGGAAATTGTTTAAAAACCCAACAGCATTACACGTTTAATCTACAGCCTCAATTGGTTGGACTTTAACACAGTTAGCAAACGTAATCACCCTCCAAGTGGGTTGAAGTGAGTAAAATAGCAACAGACCTGCCTGTGTCCTACAGTAGGCCTGTGTTTCACCCTGATCACACAGATTCATATTGAGGCAAACACAAACTAAGTCATTTTCTATATTTGCTAGTGGGGCTTGTCTGCCTTGTGTCTTTGTTCTCACCAACTTGTATTTGTCATTTCCACTGAAGCTGTTGTTTTCAAATATACACAAACTGGCCACTTTATTAGTGACACCATGCTAGCACCAGGGTGGCCCCTCCCCCCACAGGTTGTCTTAATTCTACAAAATGCTCGAAACATTTCTCCGAGATTTTGGTGCATATTGACTCTCCTGTTGCATCACATCCCAAAGTGCTCTATTGGATTAAGATCTGGTGACTGTGAAGGCCATGTGAGTACAGTGAACTCACTGTCATGTTTAAGAAGTCAGTTTGAGCTTTGTGACATGACAGGTTATCCACTGTGCTCATAAAATAATCGAGGGCTCAGTCTCCTCTTCTTAGTTGGCAGGAGTTACACCTGGTGTGGACTTCCACTGGTTGAAGTTATACTTTGGTTGCAACCAGTGGTTAATTGATTTACCGTGTCCTCTGACATCAACAAGGCATTTTGAACCAGACAACTGAGTTTTTGAAACTCTGGCACCAACAACAATATCACCTCTAAAGTCGCTTAAATCACCTTTCTTCCTGATTCTGATGCTCAGTTCAAACTTCAGCATGTCATGTCTGCAAGTCATGTGATTTGCTGGTTAGATGTTTTCGCTGAACAGGCATACCTAATGAAGTGGCCATTGAATATACATATCCATTGTTGCAATTACACTGTGCTGCTGACTGCCCTCCCCCAGTGATGATTGATGATTTCTGTTTCTGATCGACTATTTCTGTTCTTCATAAACCGTGTGTCCAAACAGTGTTAGAGATATTTAATTTTAAATCTCCAAGACAGCAAAAAATAAATCTACAAGTCCAAGCGCCCCCTGATCTTATTAGTCAAATGTGCTGTGACATCACATGGATGTAATATAAGGCTCCTGTTGCTGGTTTATTTGAGGGAGGACCGATCATCACCAAACAACCAACAAAGAGCACTCTGTCAGTCCTGAGCGAGGAGCGATCGACTTGGCTACAGCGTCTAACTGGTAAGTGTCAGCTGCAACATATAATAAGATATTTAATATTACGCCCAGTGTATTTTGGGAGCAGCAAGCTAGGCTTGTTGCTCTCTTGTGCTTATCAAAGCTTAGGGAAACAGTAAGTTGTGTATTTTCCACATGCTGAAACTTTGGTTTGTGCCTCACTGGTTTTGAATTCCTGGATGTCTGAGTATGCTGGAGCAACAGAGCACATGGGGATCAAGTGATGGGCTTTGGGCATTCAGGAGGGATGAGACCGGATAATTCACGAATTGTTGTTAGCATGGATGAAATGCCTTAAGGGAAGGGGTTCCCTACAATGAGTGAGAGAGTAGGTGGAGGATAATCTGTGAATGTGAATTCTACTGAGCTACGACACTGGCTTCAACCTGACTAGGCCGCATGACGTGAAGGAAAGCAGACGTGTCACTTGTTTTCACTTGATGTCCTCACATCTCCTTCTGCCTTTTATGTGTGCTATCATGCACATCTGCACTCTCTTTCATTATCACAGCTTCTCCACAGAGTTATGCCACCATTGCTTTGTGATAACATTAGCCCCTTTCAACATGTCTCTGGCCAGCATGCAGGCCTGTCAGATGATAAGACAAGAGCAGTCATATGTTGTCACACAGATGGGTGAAGAGGCCGTAGACAGGAAACAGACTCCGTGTCCAGATCATTGTTCATTGTATTTAACCATTTTCTCTGCTTACTGCTGCAGTTTGGTGGGTAGTAACCCATTAAACAATTAGACACACTCATGGAAAGGTTTCTCTTCAGCGTAATTGTCTACATTTAACATGCAGCACTGTGCTGAAGTCTCTAGCCACCCACCATATCTTTGTATTCTTCTGGGAAAACTGGAAATAGGTGGAGCAGTTTATTGAAACATCTGCAGAGCTGCACAGTATAAAAAGCAAAAAACAGTGTTTGTACAGTTGTATTGAGCTTGAAAGTCAATATCTGCTATGACCACCTTTATTCTTCAGTACGGCCTGAACTCTGAAGCTCCTCTTTCGATGTCTGTTGCTTTTTCTTCCGTTCTCTGTCAACATAATCTCACATGCTTTAATAATGGTGATGCCAGGGCTCTGGGGAGACCAATCCATGACTGATAGTTTTCCACAATGTGTGTTTTTTGTTTTGTTTTTTTCTTTCTTCTATCGAGTAAAACTGTCAAGATGGAAAAATTAAGCTGTTGGCAATAAAATCAAAATCCGAAGATACTTTTGCGTTCTTAATTTCATCAATTTTGACAAGATGTCCAGCACCACTGACTGAAATGCAGCTGCAATCCATGGCAGAGCTCCGCCTGTGTCTTACAGATAGCTGTAGACACTCACTGTTGTACCATGACTTGTAGATGCATCAAAGGGCTGGACTCTTTTTCTATTTTTTGAGGAGATGACTCTTAGATACTGCACATCTGCTGTTTCCTCAGATGTTTTTAAGCACACATTGCACACCATGCTGAGATATGCCAAGTTTTCAGCTAGTAGGTCTTTGAGAAATATTATTTAGTGCCTGAAAAACTATGTAATCTTTAACACTTTTGCTAAATTCAGCTAAAGAAATGTGAACAGATTAAATTCTTTTGAGACAGACTGCAAGTAACAGTTCATCATCTGTGATGCTCAAAAAAACAACAACAAACAAACAAAAAAAACCCTGATTCATGCATTTACTGGATTACTGATCGATCGAAAAACAAAGTATGGAAATTCACAGGAGAGCTCACTGCTTAATGTTGCAAATGTAATTTGACTTAAAGTCAAGCTGGCCCAGACATTGGAAGTGCATTAAATAGTCAACAGGGACTATACTATTGCAGTTAAAGTAATAAGGTGGGCAATTAACCACCTCCATGAAAATGGCCCGTGTGACTATGAGTGTTTGCAATGTGCTGCACAGTGTCTGCTCACTTCCTCCTCTGTTTTCACTGTTTTTGTTTATTTCAGTTTTCAGTGTGTGATTGAAGGAGGATTTGGTCGACTGTTGTGAGATTAACATCGTGTCTTTCTCCACAGACCATCATGGGACAGAATCTAGACAAAGTGGAAGGAGGAGAGCAAGGTTTCAGTGAAGGATCGGAGGAGGCGAAGCCCAGCCATGACTCTGAATGTGTGGGCAGTCATGCAGGTGATGTCATAGAGGGAGAAACATTATGTGAAGACGAGGGCAGTAACTCCGGGGTAAAGCCAGAGTTTCAGGATCAGGAGCCAACAACACCTTCTAGTAAGGAGCACATGAATGTGTGGGAGAGTTCTGCTGCTGCAAGAGAGGTGAGACAGGGAGGGGTTGCAGGAAAGGAGGAGGAAGAAGGAGGAGGAGGGAGGACTGCTCCACTGGTCCCACATGAGACGGACAAGGACTGCAAGAGCAGTTTGAAAACTGTGGAAAGTGCAAGAGCTTGTAAGCGGTTCAGTCAGATCAAGAGTGAGAAAAAGATCAAGATGGAGTATCCGGCAGAGGAAACCTTACCACATGAGGAGAACCAAGGTGAAAACCCAGAGGACGCAAGCTCTTTTCACATCTCTGAACGGGGATCTATGATGCAGATGAGCAGCAGATGTGGAGCTCATGCAGGAAGTGAGTCTCTGCACTTTCAGGATCTGAATGAAACCATGATGCATAAAGTTGAGAATGAGGATATTAAGATTTGCGCGGGAACAGTGGGCCGCTTGAGTGAGGGGAAAGAACCCCCACCTCAACCCCAGCATCCTTTGAAAAACAGCCTTCAGAGGGCGCCTTTATCAGACGTGAGTGATACCATTCACTGTAGACCTTCAAAGGAGAGCGCAGAAAGTAAAACTAAACATGAAGCTGCCACCGATGACCAAAGAGAGTTGGCAAGGGCTTATTCACACGTGGATACAGCTGACATGAATCCAGTTTCCACTGAACCCAGCTCTATTTTGGAGAAGCTGCTTAAGAGGAATAAAAAGGAGGCAACACCATCCCTTTCTAAAATAAAAGAAGTTCATACTGACTGCAAGGACACCTCAGATGTTCCTGTAGATGTAAGTGCAAAGGAGGTCCTTGACAGTTCAGCATTAGCATCGCCTGGTGATTGGATTGATCTTTCAGAAAGTGATATAAAGGGGATTTTGTCCTCCTCTGCAGATGGGATACACAATAAGCATAAAGCAGAGTATGCAACAAAAGATTACACCAGTAAAGACCTGGATGTGAAACAAGCAATCTCTACTCACGGTGCAGCTTCAGATTTGCTTTGTTTTGAGAGCTCATGCCCAAAATCACGTGATTTCAGAGCTGAAGACATAGACTCAACTGATGCTTCAAACAAGCAGGATGTGAAGATAAAGGCAGATATAGGCCCTTCTGAGGGTGTAGGCTCGGATGATTTACAATCAGCTGTTTCACGTGAAAAAAGTGAAGTGAGTGGCGAGGAATCTGCACCTTCCTCTCTGTCTCCACCTACAAAGAATGATGGGCAAAAGACAGACACCAGTACTCTCAGACCTCCTTTGAAGATAAGAAGTGATGCTGAGAGCAAAAGCAACCCACAGTTATCTGACTCTGAAAAGGCAGATAGTCGGTCGGTCAGGAGAAGAGAGTCCCTGAAGAAAACTGTTGCACTAGCTGCAGATGCTGGCTCAGTCTCGAGTTCAGGTGTTAAGGTTACCTCAGAGGAAATCCACCAAGTCTCAGTCAGCATGAGGAAGGATGCTCATATGATGCTTAACACAGAAAACAAGATTCCAGAAGATACTGCTAAAAAACCTGGCAAAGACGATAATGATGACTCTATCTCAGAGAGAAACAAGTCCCTGGGCACTCCCCGATCAAGGCCTGTCTCTGAACTCATAAAGGAGACAGTTCAGCTGCATGAAAAGCTGCAGCACCAGGAGCGGCCAAAGCTAGCTGAACTCAAGTCGGATGAGCAGAACCAGTCCGTGAAGGTGGCACAGATGAAGGCGGCTTTTGATTCTGCTCAGAAAACCCCCGAGAAGCCCATTGAGAGGAAGCCATCAATGAGAAAAGGTAAGTCATTTGAAATCTACACTGTAACATGCATAGTACTTTGCAGAGTGTAAGGAGGCTAAATCTAAGCCTAAAATCAAAGATCTTTAAATATTAATGCAAATTGCTTTTCATGCATATGGGATAAATCCGGGATAAATCAGAAATGAAATATTTGGTACTTACATTTGAAGCAGCACCACTTCTTTTTAGTGTACGGGTGCACATTTTTTTTAAAGCCATCATTTGTTGCAGGACTGCTTATTACCCTGGTAATTTTTTAGAGGTCATCATTCTTGTTGCAGAATGAACTGGGAACTGATTCAGCTGAGTATTGTGCAAAAAAACAGAACTAAAATAAGACTAAGACTTTTGTGCAGTACTCCATTTCCTGCAGCGTCAAATTAACTGGGAGTACCAGGATAGCATGAAAATGAATCAATGTCCGTGTTTATTGAAGTTTTTCTGGCATATGAGCCCTAAAATGTTGGGAAAGGATGCCTGATAGACCACGGCTGTTTTCTAGTGTCTCTGGATTTGTAAAATACCGCCATCTCGTGGTGCTGTTTTACACTTGGGGTACATGTGTTCTTATGGAGATGTGAAATGTAGTTTCACTATCTACTAAGCAGGTATTGGTGTTGCTTCATCCTGAATCACACTTTTTGCTTATTGATGTTGGGAAAAGCCTAAGAAATTTAATCCAACTTTGTTAGCCAACTTAGCCACATGCCTTGTGTGTGTGTGTATATCCTTCTAATGGTATCAGCCAGCTTGCCCCCACTCACTTACAACTGGATGTGCATGCATAAAGCCAGACTATCCAGCTATTTTTGCCTCAGCCTCATGCCATATTATGAAATCCTCCTGGATCATGAAGGAGTTGCATTTGGCAGTTCATCTAAATGGGTAGTGAAATTGTGCTTTTTCTTAACATATGGTTGTAGAAAAATATGTATATAATAACCAGTATGTAGTAAATGGATAACAGGAGGACATAACGGCGTGCAATAGAGATTAAAATGTTATGAAGCTGCCATAAACACACAGTTTAGGAGTCATTTTCAGTAAGTGGGAACCTGAAGAAAGGAGGTGTGAGGTCTATGCTTGTGATTGGCTGTGAGATGTGTCCTTCAAAGAAAGTAATCCACGCAGCGCTCGCCAAAGCAGCGGAGGGGCGGGGCCTGTGTCGGAGAGGGGAAAGAGCACACAGAGAGAGCGGCTCGTGTCAGCGCAGCAGCGGCTCCGGCAGAGGGAGGAGAAATCAGTTGGGATACGAGTTGGGTTTTGTGCTTTTTCATTCAGCTTTCGGAGATACTTGCATTTTCCTCTCAGAAGGTAGGTTAAAGATGATGTAGATTATTTAAGAATATTTCGTTTTTCTGCTTCGCTCTCTTAAATTGGTTGCGGCGATCTTCGTTTTTTCCCCTACACCCAACTACAGCAGTCCAGACACGAAAGTGCATGCGCTAGCTAAAATGAATCGGGACAGTCTGTGTAATGGGAACATTTTTTTTCTCGGTAAAGCTAGCACTAACCGTTAGCGGCAGTTAACTGACATTGCTGAAAAACTTTCTAGCCCCTAGACAAAGATGATTTTTGTTCCTTTGGCTCTTGGGTTTAGAGGGAGGGAATGTGCCGTTTGTACGTTATGGATCGGGGTGGGGTAGCTAGCCATAGTGCGGCAGGAAAACTTATCTCCCAAACGGTAGACCCACATACGCCGAGGTGCAACCGCGCCCTGCCCCCTGGCATTCACTGCTGGCGTCATTGTAGTCTCTTTCAAACTGAACAATGGGCTCGAAAAAATATCCAAATGTTAAGTCTTTAATTCGCACATACAGTAAATTACCCTCTTCGAGTCCATTGTATTCACGCAAATGCTGCTAGGTTCAGAACTGACCCACTAACATAGTGTTATGGAAGGGAAATGGGAAGGAGTCAAAGCATGAAAGTGGATGCACCTCCCAGTTGCATAGATTACTGCGTCCCCCCTTCTTCCACCATCACCAAACCGCCTCTGCTTCATCATACGTGGAGAGCTGTATATTAAATGCAAGTGTTCTTTGGCTTGCAGTCAAAAACGGTTTATTGCCTCAATATCTTAATTAAACTGCCAACAACTGGACCACAGATGTAATTAATGGGTGTTGCCATTAATGAATGAGGGTGTTTTTTGGGGGGTGGGGTGGGGGGTGGACAGGAACATAACTGCGTTTCACAAATGCAGCTTCTCAAGCCAAGATCTTTCTTTTTGACTTCATTATATGGCCAGTACATATTCAATAAACAGGTGCACTGAACAGAGAAAAGCAAACGCCTGAACTAGAGATGATTTGGTTTTTTTTGGTTTTTTTAAAGTGATTGAAAGCAATCAAAACAATACCACAATTGGAAATGATTTATTACAATTGTTGACTCCAAATCTGAAGGTTTTATGGAGATAATTAAATACTCAGTGCTGTCTCCTTTATTCCCATTTGGCAGTCATAAGTAGTCTCTGTAAAGAGTCACTAGTGGCTGCATGAATTCCCAAACACTCTTTTGTGTATCGCTGTGTCTGTGCGCCACCACTGGCTCATTTGCTTGTTTATGACAATAGGGTAGTTTGAATTGTAATGACTGTGGTTAGTGTGCCAAAAGGGCAGCATGACTTAGATACTTGGTCCCTGTCTTTAACTAGGTTACTCAGCTTCTATGTGTAATTAGCTCTGCAGTTGAAGGAGGGTCCCCCCTTCTTCCCATGTGCGAATCATGCTGTGGTCACAAAAGCAGGTGAAGGCTGACAGAGCGACCCTGAGGTCAGCAGTACTACAGCTCTACAGCTGTGTTAAGACTTGTTTGCCATTCCAGACACATCAACCTCTGCCTGTTGTGCTGCAGCACACGGTCTTGAGAAGTGGATAGCCTGCCTTCCTATGGCTGGGCTGAGAGAGGAAGTGGGTCAGGAAGCAGAGGGAAACTGAGCATAAGATGTGAGGGAGTGTTTGTTCCTATCAGCTGCTGCAAGGCGCTCTCGTGTGGGCTGTGGTGAACTTTCAAGTGAATTTCAAATATTGCGAATTACATGAAAAAGTAATATGGTATCCAGCATGTCCGTTACATTTATTTAATTAGTGTTGACTTCTTTAAATCAAGCACTTCCCATCTGGTGGATTTTTTTCCATCTTTTTTCACAAGTAGTTGTGGCTTTTCAGGGAAATACAGAATAAGCACTTTCGGACTGAAGAAACCTTTACACGGTTCTTCTTTTTTTGTTTGTCCAGAGGGCAGAAAGTAGGAAGTGTTAAAGTTATTAAAATCCCACTTGTGGAGTCTTTTTAGTGCCTGCATTAGGGTAGGTAAACCTACTTTCAGCACAGGAAGACCAAAATAAACAAGCTAAAATGCAACAAGTCATACAAAAAACAGAAAAAGCCATTGCTTCCATTTCATCTAATCTTCTGTGGCATCCATGCACTGCACAAAGGTGTAGAAAGAAAATCATGAAACTGAAATAGGAAGCATATATTTTCCGTGGTATGACTTACTGGTAGCTGTCCCTGGCCAAGGACCAGCAAAGGACCAGCACATGCCACAAAGTGTTATGTAGTAAATTTTCAGATTGGCTTTTAGATTAGATTATGGACTGCAGGCCTCTTTTGCAGTTTATCTTATCATGAAGACACTGCACCAAACACAGCGTCCTCCGTGTGGTCCTATTGGAGTACCCCCCCCCCCCTTTGCAAAACAAATCCTCTAGTTGGTGGACTAGTCCAAGTCTTTGGCCTTATGTGTATGTTAGATGCTTGGACATCATCAGTGTCATGTGGAAAGAAGCTAAACATTGAGTCATCGATTTGGCCTCTGCATCAAAGACTCCATTCGCTTACATGCCTCTGTCCTGTCTATGCAAGATGTTATCTCAATTCCTACATAATCAATAAATTTCTTTTTTTTAAATCTGAGCACAGATACATGTAATTAACTACCTGCTTAGTGCAGTCGTGCTTGTTTAGACTGGACTAGTAGATAAGAAAAGGGACAGCTGGCTAAATCTATGCTGCTAATTGCGTTAGTCCCCATTGCTCAGACAAGTTGCGTCCATAACAAAGACCATGTTATGAAAACAAGTCAGTTTGGCATCTAAATACCCTTTCTGTTGTGTCCTGATATGTTTGGCATAAAGTTTATTTTTTTTCTTGTGCTGAAGAATGAAGTTAAATCTGCAGTCCACTTTTTGTTAGTCATCTTCTTTACGTTTGTAATGAACTGTAGATGAGCAGTTCAAGCAGGTGCAGTCACACTAATAATACTGTTTTATCCATTGGTCTTTCCCACCACCACTTACAACATCTGTTGAAATGAAGTGGTGGTTTGTGCCTTAGTCAGTGGGGGAGGGGAAGTATCTAATCAGGAAGAAGCAAGGAATATGCTTTGTACACTGAGGCGGTAATATTGAGCAGATTTTCTTTTCTGAGTTGAGGAATAAGCAGGTTTTGACTTTTTGTCTGCTTTTCATTTGGCTTATCATGCAGATTGTCTCATGGGAAAAGGAAAATGTCCACACAGATAAATGTAATCCTACACACGAACACCAACACAAACTAGGGTTTTTCCTGTTGTGAGTAATTTTCTAAGACTTTAAAGTGGTTCCTGTTAAACCTTGACTTCTAAGTAGGATAAGAAGTTTGGGATTTAGTCCTTAAAGTCTTTATAGAGCAGAAAGTGATAAAGAGTTTGGATGAAGGGCTAAGCTTGAGCACTCTGAGGCATGGCCAGTCTCATGTTGAACACGCAGACGTTTTCTGACACATTTGTTTCTTATGTTTGGCTTTAAGGAGTCTGTTTTGTTTTTTTTTCTCTCATGAAACGAGGAAGTTGGAAAACAGCCAGTGTCAGTTTTTTCTTAAACATATTAAACATAGGATCTGAGGTATGTGATTGCAGCTAGTAATTAGTTCTGTGCTGCTCTTGGGTCGTAAATCTAAATATATTTCTATGGCTGAACAATATGGGGAAAAAATCTTGTCGCGGTAATT